TGATCTAGAGCTCGTAGAAATTTGTGAAGCACAGGATTATGTTTTGGTGCTCAGAAGTTTGGAAAAGCTCTTTCAGTGGTAATTGGTTCTTCTGCATTGCGATCTTTTTAATTCCTCTCCTTTTGGATTTTTCATATCTTTTCTTTTTCTAATAATTTTTTCGTGGATTTCTATTAAATTTTTGGATCATAATTTGAAAGAACATGCAATTTTTAATAATGACAAACAATATTTTTATAACGAAAAGAAGGAATATGCATATATTAGGTTCCCCGGGTTCTCCTCAGAGGGAAGAAGATGACCAGTAAACAAAAACCTAGGATTTGGAACCATAAACCATAACTCTACTAAGGAAAAACTAAGCCTTGAAAGCATTTATATTTCTTTCCTTTCAAATGACCCACATTGGTAGCCCAGGGATAAGAGAAACTTTTGCCTGTATCTAGCACCTTAGCTGTCCTGCCATCTCTAGATCTTTTTAGTCATAAAGTCTATGATTTCCCAATTTAAACCAAGGAACTCAATAGCTGTATGCTAGAGGAACAGGAAAAAGGGACACAACAAAGAATGTTATTCGGGGTGTCAGCCACCATCTTGCACAAGAAGCACTCATTAGCTAGAATCTTTCCCCTCTTTTGAAGATTGTCAATAGTGGGAATTTGTACTTTCACCACCCCCAGGAAAAAAAGACAATTCTAGAAGATGCATTAACCTTCCAGATATTCCTAGGGAAGTCATTGAGGGGGAGCCAAAATGAGAGAGGTGCATTTAGAAGGATTTCATTTTGAAGGACCGCTAGCTTCCAACTTCCAAACTGGTTTTTGTTATTTCCATAAAGTGAGCATTGGACCAGGTAAGGTGCTGAAGCATACTAACATATTAATCAAACTTCAAGTCATCCAAAATTTCAACAAATTTCTACCATCCTTGGCTAGAAGAGGAAGAGAATAACTAACAAATAATTGTCTTTTCTTCCATGATCATATTCAAGATTTAATCCTGCAAGAAATTAATGTGTACAGTCTTTACTTTTTAAGATGGGTGCATCCCCACTGCAATCCATGGTCAGGTTGTGGTATTGATTTAATTCCTGCGACCAGATTTTTAGAATATTCACTAATTTTCATATTCCCTTACTTGGTAGACCAAGTCTTGATAGTCAGATAATAAATTTGTGTAACGTTCTTGACTTTAGAGTAAGTTTCGCCGATTATATCCCGCATTGCTTTTGCTATGGGTGAGAACATTACGGTCTTGCTGATTTCTGGAGACATGGAGTTCCAGAGACATGTCATGATCATGAAATCCTCTTTGTCCCAGGTACTGAATGTGAGGTCTCTGGATTTAGTTTGGTACTAAGAAGATGTCTGAGTTTGCCCTTTCCCTTGAGGGTAGTTTGAATTAATTGGGACTATCCCAAATAGTATTTTTCCATGAAGTGGTAGGCAACTTGGATTGGCTGAAATTCGTTGGTGGTGTTCCCCATATGGAAGTGTGCATTTGTGGATTGAGACATAATCTTCGACATATATGAATTGATGTTAGGAAAATAAGTTGGCATGGCTAGGGTTAATGTTGGCCACTGGAACAGTGTTGCAGTTGGGCAGAGTGTGACTGTTAGTGTGGAGGGCATGGTTACACAGGGAGGATTCTGGACAGACCCGAGGTGATGCTTTAACAGACTTGATTGCTGGAGCAGAGAGTGGCACAGAGGAGTGAGCGGCCGTTTGACACCATGTGTTGCATCTCATGTCTGGTGGTGCAGTTGCGTCACGGCAGCGGCCGCGTCTGAGCAGCAAGACGGAAGAGAGAAGATTACATCTGATTTGCAGCCATGTCTGGACAGTGTGCGGCTACAGTGCACGAATCGATGACTGGCAGAAAACACATGCGATTGGATGCACAGCGGAAAGGTTCTAGCATCAGCGATGAAGGCCGGTATGGTATGGTTGTTATCAGTGGCCCGCAACGGTAGCTAGTCTATGGTGGCTGGCTATGAAGGCTGCCTTAACTCTTTTAGAGTTTTGTTCCCCCTATTTCAGCAATAAAGGCCAAATAGGGTTTTAAAAAAAGTGTAGGGTTTTTTAACATAGAGTTTTGGTATCATATTAATAATGATTTGATGTGTGTTTTATTGGATATTATAGCGCTATATAGACTTTCTAAAGTGGAAAAAGAAATAAACAATTAATTATAATTAATTATATATGGTGTAATTTACCCTCACACCCCCTAACCTAATTTATCATTTCTTTAACAAAACCTCACTCTATTCCCCAAGCTGACTCGCAACCTGATGCAATCAAAGAACTGATCTAGATTCACTACTATAAAAAAGGCCTATTTCTCTTAAAAAAGCAACATAATTACGTCACCCCTGATCATGTTTTATCTTGGGAAAGAAAGTGTCCTTGCTGGTACTTGCTGAAGTGGTTGTGTCATTAGTTTGTATATAATCTGCTTACAGAACTAGCCTTCCCCATTGTTGTTGAAATGAATTGTGTAGCATTTCTTTTTCCGGATTATGCCTAGCTGTGTATGATTCTTAATGTAATTATTTTTTTGGGGATGGTCTTTAATTTTGGGTGAGTTGTGCATGTTTATAAATTTCTTTTCTATTATTAATTTCTATTTCATGTTTTTTAGGTACAAAGGAGGACCTGCAATACCGAGGAAGTTGATTTCACAGGGTGTTTATGTGAAGAACTACTGTGTGGAGGTTTATCTGCTTTGTCTTAAGTTGATCGACTCAAGAGATGAAAGTGAAACAACTATAAGGTTGAGCAAAAAGGTATTTCTTTCTTTTCTTTTAATGTGTTTTCAACTTCTCTGGCTTGGTACTTAAAGTGGTTATTTCTAGCCATCTACAGAAAAAAATGCTAATGCACTTAAAAACAAAAGTAGCCTGTCTTTTTCTTTTCTTATTC